AAACCAGCTCTTAGTTTTATTTATTAGTTCAATAGTTTTCTTAATTTCAATTTTATTAATTTTTCCTTTGGTTTTCAATATTTCTAATTTGGTGTTTAATTGAGGATTTTTAATTTGTTATTTTTCTAGTTTTTTTAGTTGTATGCCCAATTCATTGATCTCCTCTTTTTCTATGTTATGTATGTAAGCATTTAGAGATATAAAACTTTCCCTAAGAACTGCTTTTGCTGCATCCCATAAGTTTTGGTATGCTGTCTCATTATTGTCATTCTCTTGAATGAAATTATTGATTGTTTCTATGATTTGTTGTTTGACGCAATCATTTTTTAGGATTAGATTATTTAGTTTCCAATTATTTTTAAGTATTTTCCATGGGCCTTTATTACATATAATTTTTATTGCATCATGATCTGAAAAGGATGCATTTAATATTTTTGCCTTTGTGCATTGGATTGTGAGGTTTTTATGCCCTAGGACATGGTCAATTTTTGTGTATTTGCCATGTGCCTCTGAGAAAAAAGTATATTCCTTTCTATCCCCATTCAGTTTTCTCCACAGGTCTATCATACCTAACTTTTCTAATGTTCTATTCACCTCCTTAACTTCTTTCTTGTTAATTTTGTGGTTAGATTTACCTAATTCAGAGAGGGGGAGGTTGAAGTCCCCCACTAGTATAGTTTTGCTGTCCATTTCTTCCTGTAACTCCCTGAACTTCTCCTTTAAGATTCTGGATGCTATACCATTTGGTGCATATATGTTTAATAATGATATTACTTCATTGTCTATGGTGCCTTTTAGCAGGATGTAGTTTCCTTCCTTATCTCTTTTGATAAGATCTATTTTTGCTTTTGCTTTGTCTGAGATCAGGATTGCTACCCCTGCTTTTTTTACTTCAGCTGAAGCATAATATATTTTGCTCCAGCCTTTTACCTTTACCCTATATGTGTCACTCTTTTTCCAATGTGTTTCCTGTAAAGAACATATTGTAGGATTATGGTTTTTAATCCAATCTGCTATACATTTCTGTTTTATGGGAGAGTTCACTCCATTCATATTTACAGTTATGATTACTATCTGTGTCTTTTTCTCCATCCTTTTTTCCCCCCTGTTTATGCTTTTCTTTTTCCTTTCTCCTTTCCCTCCCTCACTAGTGTTTTGCTTTTGACCAGCGCCTCCTTGGGTCCCACCTCCCTTCTATTATCCCTTTCCCTTTTCTTTCCCTTTACCCTTACTGCTTCTTCCCTCCCCTCTATCCCCCCTCCCTTTTCTTTCCCCTTTCCCCTCCTACTACCTATATTGCAAGTTAGATTTCTATACCTAACTGATTATGTTATTCCCTTCTTGAGCCAAATCTGATGAGAGTAAGGTTCAAACAATGCTCATCCCCCTTCCCTTCTTTACCTCTGCTCTAATAGGTTTTTGTGTCTTTTCCTGTAATGTAATTCACTCTTGTCTGCCTCTTCCTTTCTCAGTACATTTTCTTAGCTCAGACTAATCCACTTATTTGGATCCATTTATCCCACTTGATTAAATTTTTTTTTTATCATTACATCGAAGTCAACTTATATCCACCCGCTTTATGTATACTCCTTTAACATGGTATAATAACAATACAGTTCTCAAGAGTTGCAAGTGCCATCTTCCCTTGTAGGGATGTAAACATTTTGCCCTTATTAACAACATATTGTATCTTTCTGTCCCATTTACCTTTTTATGTCTCTCTTGAATCTTGTACCTGAAGATCAAATTTTTTGTTGAGCTCTGGTCTTTTTATCAGGAACGTTTGTAAGTCCCCTATTTCATTGAATATCCATCTCCTTCCCTGAAAAATCAAGCTCATTTTCACTGTGTAGTTAATCCTTGGCTGCATTCCAAGCTCCTTTGCCTTACGGAATATCATGTTCCATGCCCTACGGTCTTTTAATGTAGAGGCTGCAAGGTCCTGTGTAATCCTGACTGTGGTTCCATGATATTTAAATTGTTTCTTTCTGGCTGCTTGTAGTAATTTCTCTTTAATCTGGTAATTTTGGAATTTAGCTATTATATTCCTTGGCGTTTTCAATTTGGGATCTCTTTCAGGCGGGGAGCGGTGGATTCTTTCTATTATTTTACTGTCAGGTTCTAGGACTTCAGGGCAGTTTTCCTTTATGATTTCCTGAAGGATATTGTCCAGGCTCTTTTCTTCATCATGATTTTCATGTAGGCATATAATTTTTAAATTGTCTCTCCTGGATTGATTTTCCAGGTCAGCTGTTTTACGCATGAGGTATTTTACGTTTTCATCTATTTTTTCATTTTTTTTGTTTCTGTTTGACTGATTTTTGCTCTCTCATAGAGTCATTAGTTTCCACTTGTTCAATTCTAATTTTTAACATATTGTTATTTTCTGTTAGATTTTGTACTTTCTTCTCCAATTGGTCAATTGTATTTTTAAGGGATTTATTTTCTTCATTGTACTTTTTTTCCAATTGGCCAATTGTGTGTTTTAGGGACTTGTTTTCTTCAGTGTACTTTTTTTCCAATTGGCCAATTGTACTTTTAAAGGACTCCTCTACCTCTCTCATTTGACTTCTAAAATCCTTCTTGAGTTCTTCCAAGAAGGCTTTTTGGGCTTCAGACCAGTTCATATTCCATTTTGATGTTACAGATGTGGGTTGGATGACAGTGTTGTCCTCTTCAGAATTTCTGTCTTGATCTTCACTCTTCTCATAATATGAAGCTATCGTACGTTTCTTTTTACTCATGGTGTTTCTTTATTCCCTGGCCTTTATAGACATTAAGCTCTCCTACTGGGGAGCAGAGGGCACTGACCCAAGCTTCTTGTGTTGGGAGCCTAGATCTTGGTCACTGGCTTTGTGTGCTGGGGCCTCTTATGTTGGCAATTGGAGGCTGTAGGGTTCCAGCAGCTTATCTGGTGTTGGGCTGGAATCAGCAAGGCTGGGACTTTCAGGTAAATCTAGGTTGCCTGCTTTTCCTTTCCTTTAGCTTTGTTTAGCTCCTTTTAGATAAGTTCTGCCAGGTGTTTATCTGCCTGGGGCCCCTTGCAGTGCTGCCTCCCTTATTTCTGTTGAGGCACTGGGAGACTTCGTTGCTGTAGAATGCTGAGGCACCTGGTGGTTTTCTGAGCTGGTTTCCACCAGTTACCCCACCCTCACTGAGGCCCTCGGAGGTACAGCTTTTGGTGTTTGCCTGCTCGACCACCTGGGCTTTGGGATCTCCTCCAGGTTGGCAGTTGGAGGCTATAGGGTTCTGACAGCTTGCTTACCTGGTGTTGGGCTGAAATCAACAAGGCTGGAACTTTTTGGCACCTCTGGGTTGCTTTCTTCAGCTCCTTTCAGACGAATGGTGCCAGGTGCTTATCCGCCTGGGGCCCTTTGTAGTGCTGCTTCCCTTATTTTTGCTGAGGAACTGGGAGACCAGTTTGCTGTAGAATACTGAGGCACCAGAATCTCCTCCTGGTGTGCTAAAGTGGGTCTTTCCACTAGCTGGCTGGGCCACTCCTGTTTCGTACTGCTCCCCTTCCCCCAGGGTAAGAGGGGCCTTTCCCGTTGATCCCTCTAGCTACCTGGGCTACCGCACTGTTGCACCCTGTCTTTCTTCTGGTTCAGCTGTTCCAGGGTTTTTTCTGGGGTGATATTTCCCGGGTTTTCAGAGGTTGATAGGGGAGGGTGAGAGCGACTACCTTTTTACTCCGCCATCTTGGCTCCCGGAAGCGGCTCATCCTAAATGCTAAAATTTTCAATGTGAACATTTACACTTTGGAAATCCAAATGCGACAAATGGGGACTTCATTGTTTTATTGATAGTCTAGACTTAAAAAAGTGGTGGATAAAATGGTCATAATGTGGGTTAAACTTAAAAGTGTGTTGTGCAAATTTTTTTTTCCTGAGAGTCTATTGTTAAAGTTTACCAGCATGCCTCTGCGGAATAGCCATGCAGGGAGCACCCAACTTTGTCAATGCTTAGGCGCCTCAGTCCATATACTACATTAAGACACAGAGTGCAGACAGAACCTGTTAAGTGTTAAATGTAAAGAAAGGTGAGCACAATATGGGGTAGAGTAGTCAGGGAAGGTTTAGATGCCTCACATACTGGGCTGGCACTGGGGTGAGCTGCATGTCAGACAGAAAGGACAGAACTTTTATGATATGATCCTCTATGACTTAATCTTCAAAGAACTTATGATCTGATTAGTGAAACCAAATGTACAGAAAACAAAATTTAGAGTACAACCATGACTTAAGAGGTTGGCTAGTCTAACCCTCTCTTCTTTAGAAAGAGGAAATTAAGCTCCAGAAAAAGTCACTTAACAATAGTTGTTTAGCTAATTAGTGACAAAGCGAGGTCTCCTGAATTTCACTGCAAAGGTACTTTTATAAGAAGGAAAACAACAACAACAACAAAACAATTAGAGGATGATGGTAGCTGTTGTTTGTCCTTCGTTCTTGAAGAGGACCATGCCATGAGGAAGGTGATGCCACGACATGCAAGTGAATCGGTTTTGGGTGAGGGAGGGCTGTGCAGTCACCAGCCTCACTTTCTCCTCCGGAGCCATCAGGGTCCAGTGGGGAGACATAGGTCAGGATGACTGGAGATGGTCCCACGCTTGAAAACACCTGGAGGGCTCTCCCTTCTTTTTTTAATTCTTCCCCCTCCAGCTCGTAGCCGGATCCAGGCACTAAGCGCGGGCAGCAGCGCCACCTGCAGTTCTCTCGGAGAATGTCAGTCCCGCTGGGGGCAGATGTCTGAAGCTGTTCAGATCTGGGCAGATCCGGCGGTTTTGTTCCTGCGCTCTCAGATACGCTTTCAAGTAAAGGGCGCCCCCTGCCGGGAAGCATGAGGAGGTCTCCATGACTTGGGCTCCGTAGAGTCTCCTAGACCTACCGGATGTCCTAGCGGAGGGGCGGGGCTGAGCGTGGCGGAAACTCCCCTGAGGGCGGGGCTGGGGCGGCAGTTCTCCTGGGGGCGGGGCCTCTCCGGTGCGTTCAGCCGGGGAGTTGCGCGTGCGCCGCGTACGTACCCGGTTGGTGGAGCTGCTCGTGCGCTGCTGCGTTCCTCGGTGTGGCCCCCGGGATACGACTTGCGGGTCAGTAAGGGGCTGATGGTACGGCTGGGAGCGGGGTTGAGCTTGGACAGCTGAGTGCACTTGTGCTTCGGGAACCCCTTGCCATGAGCCAGGTCTCGGGAGCTGGGGGGAGCCCAGGTGGCCACCACAGATGAACCATTTTACCCAGAGAGGAACTGAGGCTCCTGTCCAGCCTTCCTGCTCCTAGAAAGGGCCAGGCCGGCAAATTCCCCAAAATTGTTGCAGCAAGCATTCCTACCACCCTTTACGCGTAGCTTTTTGGGGGGCCAAGGCACTGAGGGTGACCGAGTCTTCCACCCCCCCTCCCCCCCCCCCGCAAGGGACCGCACAGAGGGATTTCAGCCGTCCGCTGGGGGCGCCCGCAGGCTTACACCGTGTTTGCTGGTGGGGCGACCTCTAACCCTTGTGATGTCATCAGTGCAGGAGTTGCCTAGGCAACTTTTCCAAATAAACTGGAGGTTTTCCTGCTTATCCTGTGGTCATAGTGAATTTGGGGGCCTTTGTTGATGTTAATTCTCCGTGTTAAATATAGTCCCACTGAGTTCAAAGTAAGGATGGAGTTGCTTTCAGCCTTGTTTCAAGGAGGCACTTATTCGTATAAATTGAACCATGTGGGGTAAACATGTGGGTTCTAGGTTTTTGGATTTCTTAGAATTCCAGTGTGGCAAGGAACCCTTTCTGATCCCATTAGCCCGGTCCCCTCTTACAGATGAAGAGCTTGAGGACTGCCAAGGTTGTAATTTATCCCAACAGCAAGCAACCAGAATAGGACAGAACCTCTTGTGTTTTTTTTATTTCTAATTCAATTTTCTTTCCAGTACACAAACCCAGAAGCTTGGTGAATTCTAGGTCCCTGTCGGTTTTCCCAGATTTGTAATCTATATAAAAACCTATACTTGAAGCTTCTGCAACATGTTTTGGGTGGCTTTTGTACTACTTTGGATGAACATGAAGATAGTTATTTTTGCCTGGATGTTTGCAGGATGACGACTCCATATGGGAAAGAAAGAAAATGGAGTTTGTCACATTTAAATATTAACTCAATGCCTTTATTTTTTTCAGGAATTGCCACTTTGTTCAACTGACTGAGGTAACCATTGAATTCCATCAAACGCAGAAAGTGGAGCATTAAGACTATCTTGTTTTTGGATGATCAGCAAACGACCACCAACCAGATAGGTACTTTTCAAACTTCAGTTTTTTCCTGGGGTAAAATGGGAATCGTCCAATAATAAGTTTCTCATAAAAACTGCCAGTAAAACATTTTATTAAGGGCTTACTATGTGTCAAGTACTGAGCTCAATGCTGAAGATACAAAGAAAGGCAAAAGAGAGTCCCTGCCCTGAAAGAGCTCACATTCTGAGGGAGACAAACATGGAAGTGATAAGTGGTTATATACATGTAAGATAACATAAAAGTGTAAACTGGGGATTATCTTACAGTGAATGAAAAGTCAATGGGAAGTCTCAATAGTACATACAATGAAGAGGTAGTATGAGACTAAGAAATTCTATTACAATGCCTTTTTGTTTTTACATCACATTTCTGGAAATAATAGCCCTTTCCAAGGATTCAGTCTCCCTCACTTCAAACAAAACAATTATGAAATGACCTTGTTTCATGAATTCTACCTTAGTGTGGTACCCCAACCTCCTTACTGAGTTAGACATACTTGGGGAAAAGATGGAGTGGTCCATAGCATCAGCTAAAGCAGATAAGGCAAGAATCCAAACATTTCCTTTCTAGTATTAGGTAGTGAATTGCCTTTTTGGAATGTTATACCAAGAGGTGTCTTTTAAATATATGTTCTAAAAACAACTTTAAGAAATGATCAGAAGTAGATTACTTCTATCAGTTTGTACTTGGCACTCCAAACATATAAATTGATTTTCAGTTTTAAACTGAATAGCTTAGAATTCTTTGTGTTTTCTTAGGCAATGGGGAAGAACAAAGGGAAAGGGCAGAAGATCAAGAATGTCTTTCATATTGCCAGCAAGAATTTGAAAGCCAAAAATAAAGCAAAACCAGTCACCACAAATCTTAAGAAGGTGAGTCTTAAAGAAGTAAATATAATTTTGTTTACAATCCTTTTTTCATTAAGCACAGGACAGGTGTGAGAGTTGTTTTTTTTTTTTTTTTTTAAATCAAGTCATGTTTCTTAAACCACTAGGAATTTCTCAGTCTTAAGCACAAAAACCTCCCCAAAACAAAAAAACAAAACTAGGTAAATAAAATCAGCGGACACATTGTGTCTTAACAGCACATAGCACTCCATATCCATACTCTCCTCTCTCCAATAAAAGGAGGAAGGTTTGTTTAAAAAAAAAATCTTTTCCAGACCAAGATCATTCCTTATAACTTAACTGCATTGTTTTGTCTTATTGTTGTAGTCCAGGGGTGGGGGACCTCTAGGCTGCAGGTTCCCCGCCCGTTAACAGTCATTGTGCTCATTTTTCCAATTACTTTCTTCACTCTGTGTTGGCTCACATAAATCTTTTTTCTTAACATTAATTAATGCCATTGTTTGCTTAGTCCTTCCCCAGTAGATGGAAATTCACTTTTACATTTATTTGCTATAATATTGACATTACGTACTACCTTGAATATTTAGTTACATGAGACCTTTCTGTTTTTGACCTTCTTGAAGTAGTCTTTTAGATGGGATGAAGAGGTTAATATTCTACAAACTTAACTGTTATATTGTTAAGCAAATTCTTTTAATGTATAAACCAAAAGTCTTTTGAAGTAGATAAAATAGGTAGCTTTAGTTTCTAATGTAATTTTTGCAGATAAACACCTTTCTTTCTAATCCTAATTGGTCCTATTTACTACTGAATTCTTTTAATGAACCTTTCCCTTCCCCATGAACTTTTATTATTTAGAAGGCAGTTAGTAATATTTATTAAGTGTCAACTATGTGCTAGGCATTATGTTAAGCTTAGCTGGGAATACAAAAAAAAGTTTTAAAAGTCACTGCTCTTAAGGAGTTTACTATCAAAATTTTTTTTTAGCAACTAAATCATGTGAAGTTAACCAATCTTAGCAGCTGTAGGGAAGTTTTGAATCCAGCTAGCCCTATTATATGAGTATTGTGTGAAACTCATTGCTTTATACTTCAAATGAACTCAACTACTTTATGCAGTTTTTTCTTTGAAAGAAAGAAATTTCATTGATGATGTAAAAGATGTGCTATCACTTCTTAGTAACAGCTAACTTATAATAAAAGGACCAGAATTTAAAGAATACTTTAAAGGACCAAGTTCTATTACCTGTAACTGCATTTTTTTTTTTTATCCCTAAGGCAAAGAAAATAGGGATAGGATGAAAACTTAGTAAAAATTACAATAAAATTTTTGCATCAATTCATAGTCTGTTCCTTCTAATGTTAAGTAAATCAAACCAGCACACTAGCCATGTTTTTTTTTTCCTTGTAACATCCTTTAATGCAGGAAATGTGCCAAATTATTACTAAAAACAGTAATTAGGGTAGGAAGAAATGGAATTCGTTTTAAAGAGGAAAAGCCTATTTAAAGAGGAAAAGCCAGCTCTGTATTTTCAAACCAGAGAATCAAATGACCAATTAATTCCTCCACATACACAGGTTGCTTTCATTTAAAATATACAGACATTAACAAAAGAAATAAAAATAAGTGGGGGAAAAAAAAACAAAACTAAACTAAAAGTAAAAAAAAAAATGCAGACATGAGTTCATTGTTTTAATGTTAGTTGTTTAATGTTTAATTGTTATTTAATTGTTTTAACCACCTTTGTTGGTGTAAACTTTTAGGTAAAGTGCTAATATACTTCAGATTTGGGTTTGGGTATTAAATCTTACTTTCTTTTCTTTAAAAGATAAACATTGTGAATGAAAAAGCTAGAACTGTAAATGCAGCATTCATAGATATCCAAAAAGAGCTTGCACACTTCTCAAAAAGGCTGTCACTTGAACCATTGCCAAAGCACCTGGTAAGTTTGATAACATTAATTTCCATTGTGCATCAGAAATTTGATTAAATTCCAAGCATTTTTCATTCTACATTCTCTCCTATTTTTCATTTACAAAGTATAATTTAAACAGACTTTGGTACTTAATCATTTATCATATTTTAAATGTATGATTGATCAAAGGATATTTGGTTCTAAACATTTGTACTTTTAAAGTAATGTCTAGTAAAAAACTAAATTAGATGAGTAAGAAATATGTACAAAAGTTAATGATTTGTCTGATATTAATATAACTTTTTTTTCCTCCTAGATTTCTCAGTGCTCTGAAGGTGAAACAATTAGTGTGGATGATGCTACAAGATTAATGGCTCAGTTGTAATATGTATTGAAGCATTTGGATTCTAAAAAATGGACAACAAAACTGGCGTTTGTACAATTTTATTTTTAAAAAATTCTTGTTAATGTACAGGCATTGGCACGTTTAAATGCAAACTACAGAGAGCTTTCCTAAAATCTAGGAAAGTGGAATGTCAAGAAGTCAACAAAACGTGAAAAACTTAAAGTGCTAAAACAGAAGGCACTTCACAAAATTTGTTCACTGAAACAATTCATGTGTCAGTTTATATCCTTCATTTTGCAAATGGCAGTGAAAAACTAATTAGACTAGAAGGACATAAAGAAAAATATGGACAGCTGGTGGCAGTATTGGTATAAAATTATAGTTTAAGTGATAAGAGACCTAGGTCCCACATAAGGGAAAAATAAGAGGTCTTGGGATGATGATGATAATGATAATAATGATATGATAACCACTCCCCTTCCCTCCCCAACAATAATTTTATAACTGTAATTTTGTTCTGGGAAAAAAACCAGCCAAACCAAAAAACTTGCAAAGTCACTTTTTGCCCTGAAGAGATCAAAGCCCTTTTGTTCTTTCGGGTACAGTTTTGTGAAGTAAATAATTAAACAAAAGGAAAAATACTCCCAGAGCAAACTAAAAAAGTTGTTACATTCATTATTTTAAATACTTAGGTTATGAAGAACTCATCTAGGATGTTATATAGTTAGAGGTAGATAACAGGCCAAATAGTTCTCGTGGAATCTAATAATTTAGTATCTGTACATCAAAGAGATCACACACTCCTTCGTTTTCATCCAGGTTAAAGTTGTAGTCATCAGCAGGGGTAGGAGAGAGCCGTAATAGGGGAAACACTGTAAGAGAATACATTCAGATTTAAGGGGAACAAGAATTTCAGGATAAGTGAGGGCAAAATATGAATACATCATAAATGATACAGTGAAATGAAGAAGCATATTTGGCACCAAGTCTAGTTCACGCTTAAACAATATGTTGAAGTTTATATAAAGCATTTTCCCCTCATACTATGGCATGTCATAAAATCTGTCAGTCCTGTTTACTCTTTGTGTTGAGAAGGATGCATTGATTAGGTATCAGTAAGTGAAGGTGTTGCAAACTTAAGTCCTTGCTATGAAACGGGAGGTTTGCATTTCAGTTATTTTTATTTCATGGGCATGAAATTATTTTTAAAAGCAGTGCCTCCTGCTTCCTACCACCTTCCCCCAGTTGACTCCGATGTGAACTTGCACTTATGGGATTGTTCTTTTATGACTTTAAACAAATGTTTTACTAAACCAGACATCTTGAGTGATCCACTAGTTCATATTGGTATCAGTTACTATCCTGGGATTTGCACCACCCACTCCTAGGTAGGTATTAAATAGGAGCTCAAGTGTCTAGGTAGCAGTGTGACTATAGCTGAAAAGGACAACTGTTGAACTGGTTGTCCCAAAGTCTTAAAGCCTTGACTATGATTTCACTGCTCTATGGATGGGTAACAGAGAGGTATTAGTATGAAATGTATCCACACATCCATAAAGGCAGCATGGTACATGGAAAGTGTTTTGCATCTAAAGTTAAGAAAACCCAAGGTCAAATTCCAACTCTACCACCCATGTGACCTTGGTTGGGCAAGTCAATCTCTGGGTCTCAGTTTCTTCATTTGTAATATGAGTTTATACTAGAGGGCCTCGAAAGTCCCTTCTGAGCTCTAAATTTATGATCCTATGAAGTTTGCCACCCTTTAAGTCCTGAAAAAAAAATTAGAATGAGCAGAAACCATCTGTAAACACTACTATAAATCACATAGAATACAACACAAAAACTGCCTTTAACTTTTGTCCCAGGATTTTAATCATCCAGAATGGGGCTCTGAATAAAGGAAAAATAAATGTTTTACTGAATAATCAGATGGCTACACTAACAATATCAAAGGGCAAGCGTGTTTCACTTCGTTAAGGAGGGAAAAAAATTAATATAGGAAGTAAAGCGATATAATAGTATTTTATAGAGGCAGTGTAACCCAGTGAATAGAAAACTAGTCTTTGGAGTCAGGAGGAGGTGGGTTGGCTCTTGCCTCTGGCAGTGCTGGCTGTGTGACTGTACAAGTCACTTTAACGTCCAGGTCTTAAACCACTAAGAATGTAAGTTGCAGAAAAGGTAATCTGCATTAACAAAGGGGGTTCCCTGATCTAGGAAAAGTTACCATCACAGGTTCAGTCCCTGCCTTACATCTGCATAGTGATTTGCAATTTTGAAGTACTTTATTCTGCAACAAAGGGCAGCTGAATATTAGAATTATTTAAACTTGGAAAAATCTTAGGATGTTCTCTTCCCTACCTTCTAGTGGGGCATTTTATTGCTTAACAGGGAAATGAAAGTAGAGAAAACTCAGATTTGGCAATGTGTCTCTAGAGCAAGCTTTGGAAGGAATTATTGACCCATGTGTTTCAGATTACCTGTTAATGTCATTGACTCATGCTACTGCTATTCTCCATACCTCCTGCTCTTTAGGGCGGAAACAAGGTTACACACAGGGCCAACAAATGAGAGTTTGGTCAGCAAATGTGAGAAATGTTCCCTGATAACTGCCATATCCAAAAAATATATATAGAATTAAAGTCATCACATGCTTATGACTTTAGGAGCAATTAAATATTAATGCAACATTTTCATGAATAGTCACAGCAAGTTAAACATTAAGGGTTAATAATTCACAGAAGTTTTGGAATTGTTCACTTCTATAGATTTATTTGAAGATAGTAATGATTTTAGGCTACTTACCATCTGAAGACATTAATTCATCAATGATATCACCACTAATAGAGCCTGTCAAAAAAAAAGCATATGATGATTTTTTTTGTTATATTTCAAATTAATTTGTTGCATTTCACTTAGTATCCAATGACCGTGAAAGATGGCTATTGATAAGTAAATGAGAGGTAGCCAAATCAGCAACTCCATTATTATGCAAGGTTCAAATACTAGAACTTTTGAGTTAACTGACTCTTGCTTTAAGAAAATTCCACTTGAGCTGGGAATGTTGTTGCATTCCTGCAGTCCATGCTACTAGGGAGACTGAGGCTAGGTGGATCACTAGAGCTTGGAAGCTCTAAGCTGTTGTACTGATATGATGTCGTGATACCCAAGTTGTGGGGGTCAGGGTAGGGAAACTAGGCTGCCCAAGTAGAAGCAAACCAGACCAGGTTGGAAACAGCAGGTCAAAGCCAAGCCCAAAAGTGATTACTGACTTCTAGCCTAGGTGAGATAGGCCCAGACTCAAGAGAAAAAAAAATTAAAGAAAACTTTTAAACAATGCAAGAATGTTTTATTATGTATGGTGTTAAGTTGTGGATATTCCATTCCCCAAAATTCACTTGAATTTTGCTTCCTAGTTTTATAACATATTTCAAAGGAAAACCTTTGCCAGAGATAACTAAATTTCTGTATAACTCTTTGCTGATAAATCACCAGATAAGTGGGAGAAATCCTGTTTTGGGAAATCAACCGTTTGAGGATGACTGAGATCAGGGTTCTAGATGAAATGGACCTGAAACATACATACTAATTACTGGCTAACATACTAGTAGGTGAATATTTCATTAAGTAACACTAAAGCAAAATAAAAGGCACTAGAGAGTTGAAACATGCATTAAAAGTAGTAACAGTCAAGTTATATCCCTCACTTTATACATTTTAACACAGGTGACTATGAGGTATATTTCAATGATGCAAAATCTTCTTCCCACTGACATCCATGACATCTCCATGGAAGAAAACTCAGAAGACTAAACTGAATAAGAAGTAAAGGATTATAAACTATTGGCTAGTTCCGCTTTTGGAGATACGTAGATAAACCTAATTTTGTTTAAAATCTAACTTATTGTACTTCCCCGACTTGTTAGGCCTTCTCACCTTCAGACAGTAAAGACAATTTTGCCCCCATCCCTGGGAATCTTGCTAACATACTTCTAGAACTTTGTTAAGCCTAGCCAAATGGGGTAGGAACCACATCTGCTAAAGTTAACCTACAATATCATACTAAAGCAAATAATGTAGCTAGTCTGAAAATTTGAGTAGGTAACAAGTTTACCTGTAATGGGGCAGATTTGTATTGAAGAAAGTAAAGATACCCAGAAGAAAAATCAAAGTAGAATACTAATTCTCATAGGAATCCAAATTTAGAGCTGGAAGACAGATTAGGTGCTTGTCCAAGATTACACAGGTAGTAAGTATCAGAGGTTTGGAGCCCTGGTCCTTCAACTCTTAAGTCCACTGTTTTTTCCATCATACCAGTTAGCTAAGGAGCAAAATAGTATTATGTTAGATAGAAGGATGGACAGCTCTGTAGATTTTTTCTTCTGAATGAAAAAAAAGGGGGTGGGGGGAATATTACTCAGTAGTGCTCTAAACTTGAAGTTCATTTTTTATTCCCATATAGTAACTAGAACAGTGATAATAGTGATTGGAAAGTTGATGGTCTGGAATTTGTTTCCAGTTCTATTACCATCTCCTTGGGGAAACCTGGAAGCAAAGCACAGCTTCTTTTAGGACAAGTAGCTACAGTTCTGCAGGTAGGATATCTGGTTGGCAATGCAAACTGTATAAAGGCCTAGGGAATAAGGAAAGGAGTGCTCTGAAAACTAGAAGCTGCAAGGCTGTTTTTAGAGATAAACCAAGAAAGATGCTATTTTTCCCCCTAAGAATTGGGATTTGATTTGAGTAGGTAAGAGGGGAAGAGAACATAGCAGAATACACACTTCCATCTACTTTACAAAGGGACTTTTGTACTCATCCAAAGCACCAAATTCTCATTAATAACAGCAGTGAACCTTAGGGAATTCAGTATTTTTTGAGTATTCAAGCCACAGTGTTCAAATAGTGGCATTTTCTATTCCAAAATAATATAGTGATGATTCAGTTATTCATGAACTAATTAGATCTGGTTTATGGATTTCCACCATCTTTTTTCCTTTTCTCCTTCATTTCCTTGTCTGCCAACAACAGTAGTAGTATTCCTTACACAACAGTATCCCTTCATTGCTCATAACCACTCCCACTAGTGGGTAGCTGGGAAGTATGCAAAAATTCAAATTGCAGGCAGCAAC